TTGCCACCCTCTGGATACATAACCAGGAGCCCCAGAAAACTAAGTGATGAGCCCAGAGTTACATAATCCATCACACTTCCATGAGTATGCAGAAGCTGTCAATAATTTAAACAGCAAATTTCACATACATAAACATTTATGCCATTTGTACCTTTGGCAGAGGGCTTTCTATGTTTGATTTTGATGCTTTTGCGTGCTCTATTTGTTTAGCCATTATTTACAAGCAACTTTAGAGTCTACATACCTAGATAACCAAATTTTCCATTACACAATTCTAAGATATAACAGACTAAATGAGAGTATGTTTTCCAATCTCAAAGAAACATGTAAAGTTTCTCAGAGTTTTTTTAATGCAAGGAACTAAAATCCAGAGGTTAAGTGTCTTAAACTAAACTTCAATTTAGCCAATATTAAGATATTGTATATGTTAATTAATATTGCTTTCACCATCAGTGAATGCTCTAGATAAATTTAAAGTAGCTTAGAAATGGAAAATCTACCTCTTTATTTAGTTTAAGACATCACAAAATTTAATATTGAAATAGCCATGCAACAAACATTAATGAAGAGCTTCTACATGAGAATCCTGGCTAGAAATGGTCTAGCTGATGTCACTTCAGTCTTGCTACCCCAGTTTCACTTAACAGTCAATGTATGGTGGCTGAAGCTGTATCTGCTACCCACAATTACCACACTGAAAAATTTAACCAGAAACTGTCATAAACACTGTCTCTCCAATAACAAATGGTAATTTCAGCCATTGCAGGTGGGAATGAAAAATGTTATAACCAATTTAAAGACAGCTAAGATTTTACAAGTCTAAACATGAGCATATCTTATAATCCAGCAAACCTTCTAAGTATTTATCCCAAAGAGTTGAAAACCTAAGTCCATATAAAAACCTGTAAGCAAATACCTAAATCAGTTTTACACGGAATTGCTCAAAATTGGAAGCAATTAAAATGGTCTTCAATATGGAAGTGGAGAAACAACCTATAGTAAAACAATACAATGAAATGAGATATTATGCTATGAAAAGACATGGAGGAACCTTAAATGCACTTTAAGGAACAGAAGCCAATCTCAAAAAGTTATATACTGTATGAGTCCCCATGACAAAGAAGGCAAAACTGTAACAATAATCAAAGATCAATAATCAAGGAGAGGACCCAAAATGGCGACTGGGACACAGACACAGACTGCATGAGCTCCGTGAAATCGGGGACTTTGCTGAGACACTGGAGAAACACTTGGCTGAGGTAAAGCACAAGGGAGAGATGAAACTTCAGCATCCTGAACCCCTAGCCCATTGAAGGCTTCTCCATGCCAGGATACACTGAAAGAACAGGCGGGCCACCACCCCAACGCTGCCACCACCCCACCTCACTGCGGACCTGCCTGCCGCCACCATCTGCCCACCAGACCACCAGCCACCAGCTCCAAACATACTTGGGAGACCTTCAGCAGACCAAATAGAATACTTTTCTGCTGAAACCACACTTGGCAAAAAAAAAAGAAGAAGAAGTAGAAAAAAAACTCCAATACCCTGAACCCCCATCCCATAAAAACCTTCTCCATGTCACTTACACTGAGGAAAAAGGAGGGCTCCAACTTGCCTAGGAGATGCAGACAAACAGGACTGGATACTGAAGTAGTAACACCAGAACTATTAGAAATTCCACTGTTCCTGAACTAGGAATTTTTTTTTTCTCTTCTTTAAATGTTTGTTTGTCTTGTTCGCTGTTTGATTGTCCACCCTCTCTCCCTGTTGATTTCTGTGGTTCTCCTTTTTTTTCTTTCTTTTCCTTCTTTTTTATACCTTATATAAAAAAGGTACACCTCAAAGATCCAAAAAACTCTACCCAAAAATTCTTAGACACCATATACAGCTACAGTAAGGTGGCAGGATACAAAATCAACTTACAGAAATCATTAGCTTTTCTATACACCAACAATGAACAAACTCCTAAGAGTAAACTTAACAAAAGATGTGAATGACCTCTACAAGGAGAACTACAAACCCCTGAAGAAAGAGATCAAGGAAGACTACAGAAGATGGAAACATCTCCCATGCTCATGGATTGGTGGAATCAACATAGTAAAAATGGCTACACTACCAAAAGCAATCTACATGTTTAATGCAATTCCCATCAAAATCCCAATGACTTTCATTACAGAGATTGAAAAATCTACCCTAAAGTTCATTTGGAAACACAAGTGACCGCGAATAGCCAAGGCAATACTCAGCAAAAAGAGCAATGCTGGAGGTATCACAATACCCAACTTCAAACTGTATTACAAAGCAATATCAATAAAAACAGCATGGTACTGGCACAAAAACAGACATGAAAATCAGTGGAACAGAATAGAGGACCCGATATGAATCCACAAAACTATATTCAACTTATTTTTGACAAAGGTGCCAAAAATATATGACAGAGAAAAGACAGCCTCTTCAACAAATGTTGCTGGGAGAAGTGGTTATCCGTCTGCAAGAAACTGAAACTAGATCCATGTTTATCACTCTGTACTAGTATCAACTCAAAATGGATCAAGTACCTTAATGTCAAACCCAAAACTATGAAGTTAGTACAGGAAGGAGCAGGAAACGCTCTGGAACTAATAGGTATAGGCAAGGACTTCCTCAATAGAACCCCAGCAGCTCAGCAACTAAGAGAAAGAATGGACAAATGGGACTTCATAAAATTAAAAAGCTTCTGCACAAAAGAAATGGTCTCTAAACTAAAGAGTGGGAGAAAATATTTGCCAGCTATACATCAGACAAAGGACTGATAACCAAAATATATACAGAGAACTTAAGAAACTAAACTCTCCCAAAACCAATGAACCAATTAAGAAATGGGCAACTGAACTAAACAGAATTTTCTCAAAAGAAGAAATTCAAATGGCCAAAAAATACATGAAAAAAATGCTCACCATCTCTAGCCATAAAGGAAATGCAAATCAAAACCACACTAAGATTCCACCTCACCCCTTTTAGAATAGCCATCAACAAAAACACCGATAACAACATGTGTTGGCGAGGATGTGGGGAAAAAGGAACCACTCTGAAAAAAAATTTGGAGGCTTCTTAAAAACCTAAACATAGATCTGCCATATGATCCAGCAATCCCACTCCTGGGGATATACCCAAAGGAATGCAACACAGGTTACTCCAAAGGCACCTGCACACCCATGTTTACTGCAGCATTATTCACAATAGCCAAGTTATGGAAACAGCCCCACTATTGATGAGTGGATTAAGAAAATGTAGTATTTATACACACTGGAATACTACTCAGCCATGAAGAAGAATGAAATCTTATCATTTGGAGGTAAATGGATGGAACTGGAGAACATCATCCTAAGTGAGGTTAGCCAGGCCAAGAAGACCAAAAATCATATGTTCTCCCTCATATGCGGTCTTTAAATCAAGGGCAAACACAACAAGGAGATTGGACTTTGATCACATGATGAGCCAAGAGCACACAAGGGAGGTATGAGGATAGGCAAGAAACTCAAAAAAAAAAAAAAAAACAAGATAGCATTTGATGTCCTCAATGCAAAGGAACTAGTGTAGAAACTTTAAGGTGACAGAAGGAGAAGGGGACCGGGAACTAGAGAAAAGGTTAGTTCAAAAAGAATTAATTTAGAATGTAATACATATGTACAGGAAAGCAATGCAAGTGAACTACCTGCATAGCTATCCTTATCTCAATTAGCAAAAAACCCTGGTCCTTCCTATTGTTGCTTATACTCTCTCTTCAACAAAATTAGAGATAAGGGCAAAATAGTTTCTGCCTGGTAGCAAGGGGATAGGGAGGAAGAGGGTGGGGGCAGGGGGAAGAGGAGAGAAATGACCCAAACATTGTATGCACATATGAATAAAAGAAATTTTAAAAAATAAAAGAAAATGTGGTATTTATACACAATGGAATTTTACTCAGCCATGAAATCTTAAAATTCACAAGTAAATGGATGGAACTGGAGAACATCATTCTGAACAAGGTTAGCCAAGCTCAGAAGACCAAAAATCGTACGTTCTCCCTCATATGCAAACTTTAGATCTAGGGCAAATACAGCAATGTTGTTGGACTTGGAGAGCACATATAGGAGGTATGAGGATAGGTAGAAAACCCAAAACAGGAAAGCATTTGATGTCCCCACTCCAGAGGAAATAATACAGAAACCTTAAACCGACAGAGTGCAACACAAGAAGGGGATCAGCAACCAGTGTAAATATCAGTTAGAGATGAATCAACTTGGGTTGTAACATATTTGTACATGGAAGCAATGCAAGGAATCTCTCTGTATAGCTATCCTTAACTCAACTAGCAAAAACGCTTTGTCTTTCTTATTATGCATATGCCCGCTCTTCAACAAAGTTAGAGATAAGGGCAGAACAGGTTCTGCCTGGAAGCGAGGGGGTGTGGGAGAGAGAGGGTGGGGGTGGGGAGCACGGGGGAGAAATGACCCAAACAATGTATGCACATGTGAATAAATGAATAATAAAAAGAATAATAATAATAATCAAAAGATCAGTGTTGTTGAGAGTTCAGGAAGTAAAGAGCAGGGACAGAGGACAACAGGTGGAGCACAGGGCATTTTTAGGACTATAGTGGATATAGGACATTATGCATGAAACACAAACCATGAACCCTAAATTTAAACTCTAGACTTTAGTTGATCAATACAGGCTCATCAACTATAATCAATATACCAGCTAATTCTAAAACATATGTTCAAGAAACTACTTGTGACGGTGGAGTATATGGGGAACTCTACTTTCTGAGCAACTTCTCTATGAACCTAAAACTATTCTAAAACTACAGGCTATAGGAAAACAACAACGGCTCATGTTTTAGTTAACATCATAAATAATTTGTGCAAATACACAAAGTGAATGACATTTTCTTCAAAACAAATACATAATGATATTTCTGTTAACTAGGTGGCAAAAAATAACATAAATAGTACAGAACAACCCAAAATATTCTTACCTGTCCTGTGACTGCTCTTCATACATCCTCTCTTTGCCTTCTTTAAAAAGTCTTATTGCTCGTTTTGACTTTTTCATTAGACTATCAATGTAGATTTTAAAATACTCATTCTCACTCAGTTGGGCAAGTTTCTGGTTGTCATCATATTTACTCAATATAAGCCGCAAGTGCTGATACGTATCAGGTAAAATATCAAGTATATACGGTGGACTATTTTTCAATTGCAGTTTAGGATTTTGGCACAGTCTTACCTAAAAACAAAGAAAGAAATATTTTGTACAAACAATAATTTTTTTTCTTAGAACAAAGACAAATGAATAGAACTATGCCTCATTTCTTCATTTTCTATAATATAACTTATGATCTTGTTACCCCAATTTATAAATAACAAACATTCGCATTTGTCCAACTATAATCAAGCCTATGCAGGTTTCTCTATATCACATCCTTGCTTTCAACCCTAAAAGTTTCAATTCTCTTTTCCACAATGTCCTAATGTACATAGTTTAAAAGAATTCCAGTGTACCAATTAGTACACTAATTGTTTCTGAACCCTAAGGAGAATAAAACAAACAGGTACAATTTTAACAAATGAGTTAAGTAGTTAAATAGGTGTCAGCTCAGAATGAGTCTTTTCCTCCTATCTATAGTGCCTAAGAAACCTATAAACATGTTATATTGGTCCAGTTATGCCATCAGGTACCACCTAACCACTGGAGTCTTCAGGTCTGATTACAGAATTGAAAATACTTTCTGCCAGGAAAAAAAAAAGGTAGCAATTCAACTATGTACTGTATTGCCGTCTAAATGGTTCATTTGATTTAGTCAAGAAAAAGTAAACAGATCATTTTGCCCCTCCAAATAAGGCATCAGGAACTCTCCAATTAAACTAAAATTTTAATGGCAATCTTTGGGAATTAACAAGAGCATGCATAGTGAAACAGTATAGCAATCTTATAAAATATAAATGAACACATAAAGGCAGACTGAGAAGGTAGTGAAATGAGCACTTCTGGGTCTCTCAGATACATTACAGTCTTCTAACACCCTCATTTATTTATATGTAACATATCACATACATATATTTGATTAAAAATGTGAGAAATATATTTTAAACATAATTGGTTAATATTTCTGCCATTTTTCTGTATGACTTCCCTTCCATCACAGTCAACTTCCTGTTCTGTGGCACTAGTGTGACCACTGGCATTTCTGAAATCTGGCTAATGGGAAGTTGAGTTGGAGATACTATTAGTTTGAGTTCAGGGGAATTTACATGTGAGGCGTATAGTCACTTCCATAAATAGCTAAATTATTGTCAGCAGTCTGAAATAAGCCAGGCACAGAAAGAAAAATACTATATGATCTCACTTACATACAGAATCTAAAAATAAAGATGACAAATAAATAGAAACAGAGTAGAACAGTGGTTACCCAGGGAAGGGAGAGGGAGGAAATGGGGAGTAGTAGGTCACAGAGTACAAGCTGCAGTGAATTAGGATGAACAAGTTACAGATATACTACGTAGCATGAGGACTGTAATTAACATCATCTTGTGTGCTTAACAGTTGCTAGGAGAATAGATTTTAGGTGCTCCTACCACAACACAAAAGGTAATTATAAAAAGGTGATGGATCTGTTAATGTTTGACTATAGTAATTAGTTCACTGTATAATTATACCAAAGTATTGTGTTGTACTCCCTAGCTCTATACTATGATTTTTTTTTAATTTAAGTAATTTTTTAAAAAAGAATGGTTTCAAAAATACTACAAGTTCCCTCCCATGGGTGCAGGAAGGAAGGTACAACTAAAATCGGGTGAGTTGAATGCATCTCAGAGTGGTCAAGACTGGAAGTGTATGTGGGTAATGAAAGAAACACAAAGAATAAAATGTACAAAGCCAAAAACTAGCCTAGACATTTTCAATGACATCTATAGATTTATCAGCTTTTTTAAATGCATAATTTGTTGTGAATTTTTTCTCACTCAAAAGAAAATTCACTTTATACCCAATTCTGTATTTATACTTTCATATTATTTATTTTTAGAAGCATCCTTCCAAATGGTAAGATTTTCAGGCTTCATAAAATATGGATCTGCCCCCTGGACACTCACAAAACTGCCTGGCACAAACAGAAAATAGGTGAACTGCAATAATTTCAAGAAAAACACAATACATTAAGAAAATAACAAACAAAATAAGAACCCTTCTTACACTCACTGCCTCATTTGCTTTCTTTAAGAAATCACTCAAACTTTTTGTTGGTGGGGAGGCAGGGCAGGGGAGGACCATCAGCTCAAATCACCAACCACTAGCCTTTAATTCAACATGACCAATTCTCACATTAACCTACAGCATTACTGTATTTTCTTACACTTTGTTTATAGTTCCTAGAACAAAGTGGTTTAGCACATAGTACACAACTGATAAGTGAATAGATGACTGGCTGATTGATTCTGGGGGGGAAAAAAAAGAAATATATATATATGTATATGCACACACACAATTTTTTACAAATAGTTTCACTGAATAACTTCCTTTATTTTCACAATTGAACAACACAAGTATAGTATACAAGTTAAAAACCCAGAAGGGTAGGTTTACTTTAAATTCAAGAATATTATTTTAATACTAAGAAATTTCTTGGAAAGGCAAAATGGCACCTCATCTGCTAAATAATACCAAATCTTATAAAAGTATAGTTAAAGGAGCTAATAAAGCTTTCAGCTGCCTTTTTATGTTTGTGACACAATGATATAATCAAAGAAACTCATCTGCCCTAATGACTAAGTTCCAATGTCAGTGATTAAACATGTTGGTTGAAATAAGATATGGCATTTCAATTCTTTAAACCAGAAGAGACTATCATGAGTATACAAAAATTTCAAGAGTACCACCACCAACTTCCTACAGCAGACACAATTTAATTTCACCAACATGTACTTGTACAACATATCACAGATTAATAAATTATTAACTTGTAGTTAGGCGATAGGACAGTTCAAATTCATTTCCTGCACTGGTGAATTTTTTAACCTATTAATGAAAATATCTCTAAGGTACAGTTTTTCAGTTAAAACTCTTCTTTGATAGATACTTTTAAGTTTTACAGATATCTAATTAACTATTCTCTACCTGACCTTTTTCTTGCTTTCATATTTAAAGTTGTAAATTCATGTGGGAATGTATTGCTTTATTGGGTGAAATTGTTTGAATATCTACTATATACAAGGTACTGAGCTTAATGCCAGGAAGTTATAGATGACTAGAATATACTTCCTGCCTCAAGGGGTCTGGCAGAAGAGACCTAGATCTCTATAATTAACTTAGGAGCAATGTAATTCTTGCTCTAAGGGATCTTAGTAAAGATCCCATCCCATCTATTCATTTCCAGATTTAAAAATAACTAAAAACTACAAAGATTAAGGGACTATTAAAAAAACATTAATCCAACACAAGAGCCTGCATCTTCTGAATCTCAGGCTAGTCTTCTTTCTAGCTATAGCACAATTTAATTATAATTACACATATAATTAATGATCCTTTCCAAACTCATTTCCATTTTTATTTTATCCCATTTGCAAATTTACATTAACTTCAGGACTCATTTATTAACTCAACAAAGGTTTATATGTCAGGCATTGTTTCAAATGGTAGAAAAACTGAGAGGAATAAATCACAGACTTGCCCTCAAGGAGCTGTCTAGTGGGAAAGCCTGGTGGCTTAAGGAAGAATTACAGGAGAATTTAGGGCTATGATGAGACTAGTTAGTGATGAGACTAACTGCTACAAGAGAAAAGAAGCAGCTCACTCATATTCAACAAAGGCATCAAGAAAAGCATATCTAAATTTTTTTAATAATGGGAATTCCAGGCAAAGCAGTATGCAAAGGCTTAAGGGGCACTATGTCAAGAGAGGAATAAAATGCAGTTATAAGAAAGCTTTGGGGTTAGTGGTACAGAAGATCTGAAATAGACCAAAGTCAATTCATCAAAGCTCAGGCTATGCTGTTTTCTAAATGTGTACTTGAGGAAGTACAACATACAATACCAAACTGAGTGTACAGTTCAATGTATACCACTGAATGTGCAGCTCATCAGTTGGATTACTATTAAACCCTGTGATTTATGACAGCTCCTGCCGAAAATGAATAACCCTGCACCGGAATATGACTTCTAAGCAGGTCAAATTCAATTCTATTCAATAAATATTTATTGAGTGCCTGCTATGTACAAGGAACTGCAAAAGTCAGAGAAAGAATAACAGCTTTTCTAAAAGCAGTACATTAAGGAGAAAAATCAAGCTAACCACAAGGTTCATGTTTACATTCAAATGACTTCAACCTCTTCTAGAAATATTTAAGTTGCTCCCAGAATTACAGATGGTGGTAAAACAGAAGAGCTGTCACAATGAAACGAATCTTCAGTCACATTATACAATGATGAAATTTTTAGGGCACAGACTGTGTATAAAAGAACTGGTTCATTAGCAGTATCACTCTTGTCTTTTGAACTAGAAGGTAAAACATTTAGTTTTGGAATTAGGCTAAAAATTCAATTATAGTCATTGACTCAAAGGATTTTAAAGTTCTACAGAGAACCTTGGAAATCACCAAGGACAACTTCCTCATTTTGACATGACCATACTAAAACAGAATGCAACCTGCTAAGATCACCACTTAGAACCCTGATATGTGGACATGGGAATGAAGCACTCTTCCTCTGACTCTTCTATTTCCATATACTTAGGGACTTTAAGGAGATTCTCCTTGAACATCTAGTCCACATTGCTTCAAATACCTAAAAACATGTTTAACATCTACATAGAACACACATAATTTAATAAATATGTATCTGCACACCTAAATGTATGTATATATGTATGTGTATATATATATTTATACTTAACCATTCTGAAGCAAAGGCACAAATATAAAAACAGAATTTACTATTGATATAAGAATTTGCAACACTATTAAATATTCTTGGAGCTCTGATATTTAAAGAGATTTCCTGGATGATTCTTAGTTAAAATTTCCAGCCAAAAGCTAATAAAGAGATATTAGGTCAGTTAACATATTCCCTGCAAACAAAGTTCAAATCCATGGTGCTCCTGAAACATATGAAAGAAATTTTACAAAAGCAGTTTCAGCAGCAAGGAATTGCATCCATACTGTATATGACTTCATCCATACTGTATATGACTACTGTATATGACTCCATACTGTATATACTACTTCATTTAATGGA